AAATTTTTGGTGGTGGTAGTGGTGTTAAGAATATACACCCCAAAACATGCACCAGTTCAACAGTTTGTACATGTTCAATTTAGTGACATTGATTACATTCTTTGAGTTGTGCAACCATTCTCACCTTCCTTTTCTGAATTGTGTCTCCCCCATTAGCATCGATGCATAAGTAGTATCCAGTTTATCACCCTCATCCTCATCCTCTCCAGGAAATGGAAGCTTCTGTCTATTGTCTCAAAGGAGGCAAAGCTATACAGAAGAGGACACATGAGCTCCAGACTCAGGACCTACGTCCTCGGCTCAGTTCTGTCAGGGGATCATGAAGTGAGACCTTGAGGGTGTGCAGCAAGAGTCATTTCACTTTCCTGGGCCATATTTGTGCTTGTTTGTTTTAACTGATAACATATGAGGGGCTGAAACAGATGGTCTCCAAACCTTCCACCAACCCCTAAAAGTATCCTGTAGTTTTAAGATAAAAATGTTTTGACAGAAGTCACAATATTATTAATTACCTTCTAAGCACTTGCTACCTCTTCACTGGGGATACCATTTAATCAACATGGCAAAGCCAAGCCAAATGGTTTCTTTTTATCTAAGACAAAGTTGACCACTCTCATATTTACTCCATACACACATTGTACTCTGGTTTGTGTACCTATCAACACCCTCAAAAATAAAGCAATGAACAGTCTCTCTAAGCTGCTAGCATTTAATAAGAGACACCATCTGGAGAACTGGAAATCCCCTATCATCAGCAGATACATAAGGTTCCCTGGTTTGTTCATTCAGACCCTGAAAATGGTTGTGAACCATCCATGCTTTAGCAGCCGAATTTGCTGAAGTCCACTTCTTGCTGTCTTTAAATTCCATCTCTTGTCTGGAATATCTAGACTTCAGTGAACGAAGGCTCAGTCTACACCCATACAGAACATCCATCAGAGAGTGCCTTAGATCTTAGCTTCATAATAGTAGAATCCTGCACATCGTAGCCAAGGCACAAAACGCATCTTATCAAAACTATACAGGCAACAAACACAGAGGATCAACTTGTTTCAGCAGAAGCTTATTGTAAACATTTGAGTTTAGGCTGTCACTAAGAATACCAAGATATCATGCAGCACAATGGCACTGGGGGTTCATCCGCCAGCAGGAACACGGAGCTAAGATGCTATTTTCTCTTGAATAGGAAGAATAAGCTGTTTCTCCGGATCCCTCACTTTTAAGTTCTCCCACCTGAATGGCTTGCAGATCATTTAATTGCATGCACCTAAAATACCTTTGAGCTCAAATAGCCGTATCAGTAATAGACATCTTTCTAAGGATATATGCACAATATGATGTCACACACCATTTCAGGTAATGCACAGATTTCTGAGCTAGAGCTTAATTGTTTCAGTGTTGAAAAGCACCTTAGAAGTCACCCCATTCATTGGCTTATCCAACATAGATGTTTCCCCTACACTATTCATGCCATATGACAACAGATTTTCAGACGGAATCACCTTGCTACCAAGTGTTTATGTCCCCTATAACTATCCACTGCATTTTAAAAGTCACACTTCCTATGAGATTGCCTTTTCTCCCCCTAAATTACATTAAAATATTTCCGTATAATTTTCCAGCATTTATCTTATCTTCTAGGCATTCATCCTGTATCACCCAGCATAAGTCTAAGGTACTTATCACTTTTTG